GAGAGAGAGAGAGAGAGAGATTGGTTGCCTCCCGCATACACCCTGACCTGGGCTGGGGAATGAACCTGCAACCTAGGTATGTGCCCTTGACTGGGAATAGAACCCGAGACCCTTTGGTGTGTGGGCTGATGCTGTAACCACTGAGCAATACCAGCCAGAGCTAGAAACCATTTTGTTATTGCCAGTATCCAACTATACAAAGTCCAGGTTTCCTTAAAATGGCACAGATCCCTGTTCTGAGGAGGAGCCAATCCTCAGAGTTGCTTTCAACACTGAAGTCATAGATTATACCACTGGTACTACCGCGGTCAACACGTGCTTGTCTTCATTGTGCCCTGGGTAGAGTGAGCTTTACCGGACAGGGTCTGTTATCATCTGCTGTTGAAAGTGAAAGTGGCTATTTGCATGCTTTTCAGGTTGCTCCTTGTACCATATTGAACTTACATGGGTTAAGTTTATTTCCCAGTTAGCCAGTCCTTGGAATTCACTCCTTGTTGCTTCCAGGTTTGGCTGGATTATCATTCCTTACCCATGCACATCCCCCAGATAGATCCCAGATCAAATTTTTCCCACTTTTCTGATCTGGATGCCCTCACCCTACACTTCTCCTGGCACTCCTGTCTTTCTTAACCCCAACCTCAGAAGTGACGCCCTCATATTCTGGGCCCAGGGAAGCCCCTGATTAGATGTACAGAATAGATCACGTTTATTTTCCATTAGCAATTATGTGTCTAATTGTCATGACCATGGCATTTAAAGATGTAATTGTTCTCCAGAGTGAGTTTTTGTTTCAACCATTATTGCCTGGAGTTGTCACTTGACTAGAGATTTGGTTAAATTGCAGGTAACATGATCTTTTTAATAGAATATCCAAGTCTCTGCAGTTCTATGTGCTGGCTGGGTCTTTCTCATGAGGGCTCCCCATCTTATTTTTCCCATCAGAGATTTTCTTTACTACATATAATATGAGGCTCTCACCATCTTGTTTTTGTAAAAATGGGAATGACTCTTTGCTTTCTAATTTTACTCCTTCCCTTTTATTATTGGTTGCTACTTACTTATGCAACACGATTCTTCCCTGGGCACTCATCAGCCCATATAGTTTTCAGCTTGGCATGGCTCAAACCTCAAATTGTTCGTTTTAAAGTGGCTGAGTTGCGCAGATGGTCAATAAATCAATCACTATGGCCACTTTATTGCTTGTAAGGTGATTACACCACTTTGCCCGTAGTGACTTTTCAATTTGATTAAAATGCAGCTCCACCAGGTCGTGGTTGAGCCCTCCATGCATAAAAATACATAAAGCAGTGAGAAGCCTGCGCTTGAATATTTTTATAACTACCCTTCACCTCTTTACCCAGCACTTTTGTGGTTCTCGTCCTATAATTCAAATTTCCATGCTCCTTGCCAAAGCCCTTTTTATTTCGTGCTCGCTCCAAGCTCCTGCCTCTGCGAGAGTGCGTTGCTTTTTCTGCGAACTGCTGGTGGGCACTGGCCCCGCCGCAAAGCGTTTCCCCGTCTCCAGCGAGCTCCTACGTGAGCCGCAGCCAGGCTCCGACGCGGAGCACTGTGGACGGTGCCTTGGTTTATTTGCAATTGCATTTCAGACAAGAGGGCCCGGACAGTGGGAGTGGAATTGTTACGCAGGAAAGGAGTAAACCCTCAACTTTGCTACCGCCCTGGCAGCAGGTGCCCTTTCGACTATATATTTTAAGAAAAATTAAAAGTGAGCATGTGAGCCCAGAGCTCCTTGCCCAGGGCCTGTGCTGCCTGCGTGGCATGGTGCTTGTCTTAGTCGATTCCAGCTGCTGTAGCCATTTGTTTCTCTCTTAAAAATACCACAGAGCGGGTGGCTGCTAAGCAATACACACTTAGTTCTCACAGTTCCCGAGGCTGGAAGCCTGAGATCAAGCTGCCAGATGGTTGGGCGAGGACCCTCTTCCCAGTCAGACGTCTCGCTGTGTCCTCACACGGTGGAAGGGGCAAATAAGGGAGCTCTCTGGGGTCTTTTTTTTT